GGTGCGTGAGGTCGGTCTGTCCGACTGTGAGGTGCGTGAGGTCGGTCTGTCCGACTGTGAGGTGCGTGAGGTCGGTCCGTCCGACTGTGAGGTGCGTGAGGTTTGTCCGTCCGACTGTGAGGTGCGTGAGGTTTGTCCGTCCGTCTGTGTGGTGCGTGAGGTCTGTCTGTCTGTCTCTGTGTGGTGTGTGAGGTCTGTCTGTCTGTCTCTGTGTGGTGCGTGAGGTCTGTCTGTCTGTGTGGTGCGTGAGGTCTGTCTGTCTGTGTGGTGCGTGAGGTCTGTCTGGTGCGTGAGGTCTGTCCGTCCGACTGTGAGGTGCGTGAGGTCTGTCCGTCCGTCTGTGTGGTGCGTGAGGTCTGTCCGTCCGTATGTGTGGTGCGTGAGGTCTGTCTGTCCGTCTGTGTGGTGCGTGAGGTCTGTCTGTCTGTCTGTGTGGTGCGTGAGCTCTGTCTCTGTTTCTGTCTATGTGCATGTGGTGCTTGAGGTCAGTCTGTCTGCGCTGGTGTTTGTATAATGTATACAGGCTCTCTTATCTTGGAGCAGACAGCTTGTTCCCTTGAGTCCCATGTGTGACATGCTGTATGACACTGAGACTCCAGCTTGCTCTCTCCTGCCTCTGTGTCCTACAGCCTTGGGGGGTTTAATTTAACCAAAGGACATTTAGCAGAACAGACTCTTCACTCTGTTTGATTCTGAGGCCGGGCTAGTGACGCACACAGGCCCCGAGTCGGTGACAGCGCATCCGCTTCCTTCCAGGTCCCCTCTAGTTTCACCCTTTCTGTTCCACTGCCCTTCACACGCACCACGCAGCACACTGGTTTTCTGCTTGCTCCCAACAGGACACAGATGCAGGGAGTGCCCCCCCACCAATGAGGCTGCCCCCACCATACAGGCCACCCAGTGGACCTTTGGGTGACGAGCAGCAGGAGGACCTGGAGAGTGCCAGAGGTGAGTGAGCATGTCTCCACTCTGCGCTCAAGGCCGCCCCCTGCTGGAGCATCCTGCAGTCACTGCAGACACCCCCGCTTCACATAACGGACTCAGCATGTCACACACACCCTGCTGGTGTTTGTTAGCTGGATGCCGATGAGTCGAGTCTCTTCTTCGGTCATTCCTGACATCGTCGTCTTTCTCTGGACGGGCTGCGATCAAAATCATGGGCACTGTATGCATGACACAGTGACTTTCTCCTTTCAGTCACCTCCATGGCATTATCCAGTTAAACGCTGTTTAAACCTCTCCTTCATGGGATATCACACCCCTCATCCTTCCTCCTCACTGACACAGTCAACAGTTTACAGTTTTTGTGAACAACATGGCTACTGAATATTTCTCCTGTTTTTAAATTATTTTTTTTTGCTTTTTACGTTTTTCTGTAGTGTTTGTCTTGTGTACACCCATATGTTGATGGGTTGGCGTAGTGATTTATATATTATGTTTAATGATACAGCTGTAATATACCATCTTGCCACATCATCAATATATTTAACGTTTCAGATACATCAGTGTTGGAATATATAATAAGTTCCTAATGCTGCAAAGCCCATTGTGCACAGAGTTTTACGTCATCAGAATAACGGTCAGAAAACCAGTTCAGAACTTGTGCAAGAGCTATTTGTTTTTATCCATGCATTTGTCATGCCTCACTTTCGAACCTTGTTGTTATTTTTAAATGTCAACTGTCCTTAATGAAGAAAAAATAGACAACAATGTCATCGCTTCATGTTTATCGTGGTATTGATAGATTGATCTCTGTGTCGGGTAGCGCGCTCCCAGGTCGTTACTGTATCGCAGGCAGATCAATGAGTGTTCAGGCTGCAGTAATATCTGCTCGTTAGAGGCAGGAGTGGTCAGCTGCCTGTTGTCAGCCCACACTGAAGATTTCTTCCAGCCATTACTGATGAGAAGTTTACGTGTAAATAAGAGTGCGGCTGGCCTTTGAATTCCTGGCACATCGGAGCGGTGAGCAGAGCCCTTTTACTGCAGAGCAGCATTGAGCACCTTTGAGTTTGCAGCGTCAGGCTGAGGGAATCCCTCGTGTTGTGGCGTTCTCTGAGCGTGTGGTTTCCAGAGCGTTAAGTCTACCGAAACACTGTCATTCGCCAGCCGCTCCATTCCCGTCTGGGATGGCCGGCCGCTAAGCATGGTTTAGCATCCGTGTGAAACTCGGAATTAATGCAACCATCTGCTCCGGTGCCGGGAAAGTCAACAGGTCGCTTCCGGAATGCTGAGCGGGAGCGGGGGGGGGGGGGCACAACCTGTTATGCAAGCGGTGGGTTATGGGTTCATAAAAAGGTTTCAGGCCTGACGGTATGGCATGGGGGGGCTTTCCGGGCAGGTCTGTGAATGAGGTGGGGCGCCCCCTACTGTCCACCATGTCCCTCATTAATTCATTAGAACAGCAGCAGGACACATATGGGGGCTGATGGAGGTGTGTGCTTGTGTTTGTGTGGCACTCTGCCCATTTCAGTCTCCCTTATACTTCCAGCCTGTGGACTGACAGAGTTACAGGGGTGCCCCATTTCCCCCCCCCCCCCATCTGACACCCTCCTCTGCAGCCCACTCCATCGCCGAGGTGCCACCCGCAAACAGGCGTTACTTTGCCGTGATTCATAAGCGCGTCAGCGCTCTGTCCGTTTTTAATTACACCGTCTTGATCGATCGTGGTGCCGCGCCGGTGTCCCACCGCGCAGTAATTACGGCGGGCGCACGGGGCATGTGGAGGGGGTTCGTGGCCGGGCAGCATGATGGGAATTGTAATGGGCTCACGGAGAGGGGAGAGGAGAGGCCGGCCGTGCCCACGACCGTATCCGTCAGCTTTCTGCCGGCTTCTTGTCCTCCTCCTAGCACGGATCTTGAGCTCTTAGAGGCCCGCTCGCTCCTGCATTGCATTCTGGGTGCTGCTCATGCCTGTTTAGAAGGCGGGGTCAGGTCGCAGTGTTCGCCGCTAGTTGTCAGTCGGTTGACCTGTAATGAGCCTCTCGCGTCACTGCTGGGTGTTAAGGGAGGCTTTTTAGTTCTAATTATACTTGTGATCATAGCCCACATCCTCACGCAGGGTCATTACTAACGGATGGTTGACTTCAATCCCACGCCGGCCCTCACTTTGCCCTCTAATGACCCTATAATTCCGAAAGATGCAGTGACAGAGCCCTGGTGAGGGCCAGGCGTTGTTGTACGGCAGGAGGCTACAGGACGTGATGACAGCTCTATTTCTCCTGCCGTGGGCTGCAGTAACATGTGCTAGAATTAGGGGGCGTTTCCTTCATCAGTGCACCCAGTATATGGAGCCAGTGCTGTGTGACTGAGAATCCTTCAGTCTGCCTGGTGCAAACAGTTCGAGTTACTCTGAGCAGCCTGACTGCCCTCAGCCTGACGCAGGGAAATGTCGGCGCATGGGGGTGTAAGCAAGACGTGTCTAGAATCATGAAGGTGAGACTCCCCAAGGAGCCTCCTTTTCAAGCCCCCCCCTTGAGCCCCCCAGTGCTGCGAGGCGTGTCGGAGACACAAGAGGTTATAACATTGCTGTCCTGAATCCCTTTGTCCTGATAACTTATTGAAAAATGCCACCTTTCTGTAGTAGTAGGCAGTTAATCTTTTATTAATAAGGTCTCTCGCATCGCCACCCCCTGTTTGCCGTGGTCTGCTCTTCCATCCTGAGAACCTCCCTCCCGCCTCTTACCATTCGCTGTCTCACCTGGTTATGAGCGGTGCCGCCCCTCCCCCCACGATCCGCCTGCCCCCTGTCGTCTCCTGTCGCCGCTCACGCTCCAGTCGGACACGGCTCTGCACTCTTCCCGCCTCGGCTGCCTCTTCACATTTAAAGCCCTTCAAATGTCACCTGTGTGTGTGGGCTCTGCCTTCCGGCTGTCCCTCTAACCCCGAGTTATCAGTTATCACACGTGGCACATGGCAGTGATGCTCATGCTAATGCTGCCTATTTAAACGTGTGTTGATCTCACGGTCGTGCTTCTTGGACCCGCTTTCCTGCAGACAAGGCTATATTAGTCACCTTCCCTCCCTATGACTGTGAAGGGGGGGGGGGGGTGCCTTCCTTCATCCCTCCTCTAGCATGACAGACAAGGCTTCCCCTATTTGGAAAGATGGGTGTCTTCCCGCTGCCTCTCTAGTTGATGGTTAGCTACCTGTGCTAGTTTCCCTGTACCCAGCTCTTGTGGCCCAAGCATGTTATACATGTCATGAGTATCGTTTGAAGCTCCGCTGTTTAAACGGCATCGGTAACATGGAAGAGGCGACCCCGGTGGTTAGCGGAGACCAGGAAGGCCGCTCGGGCGCCTGGCCCTGAGGTAACGTGTCTCTCTCTCTTTGCAGGGTTTAATGGCTGACCGCTCTATTGCTTCAGGCCGGATGCTGGAGCCCCTGCTGAGTTGTAGTCGATAGACCAACATGATCAACACGATGGAATTAGGCCGCTGCTGCTGGGCGCAGGGCGGGGGGTGTCCTTCCTTCCGGATCGTTGGGGCACTAGGCTGCGTTTCGGGCGTACCCCAGGCTTTTGGGCTCGTCTCTGTCCTGTCGTGGTCTCTGGTGGCAGGTTTCGGCACTGCGCTTCCCTTGGTGGCTGTGGTTGGTTGATTTTGTGTACTCCTATGCCGTTGGCAGCCAATCAGATCTCTTCTTTGGCTTATATGCCAGACCAGAAGCCATTCAGGTGGATTTTACCTGAGGCCTCTGCTCCCATACCTCGCTTTCCATCGCTCTCCTCCCCATCCTTCCCATGGCTATAAGCAGCAGCCCCCGCCCCCGCCCCCACCCCCACACTGGTGTCCGATCCATCATCACTTCTGCATTTGTCTGAGACCTCTGTCAGTGTAACATTTATGGCAATAAATTATCAACCTGACATACTGTGTCGTTTCAGAAGTTCTTCAGTTGTGGGATGTGAACGGGGATATTGATTTACAGGCCCATGTGGTCGCTTGGGCCGTTGGTGGTCATATGGGCCGTGCGTGGTCATGTGGTCTGTGGTAAGTGTTCCGGTCCAGCTTGGCGACGCCCCTTTTTAAAGCCGGTTTCTGCTGTCTGGTCCATGGCTAGAAATGGCACCTCCCTGGGTGCAGTTGGTGATGGGGTCAGTGAGGTGCAGTGCAATCGCTGTGCGGTTTTGTGTCTTTCACATTCTTTATTTTTCCTCGACCGATGTCTTTTTGGAATTTTGGCTTGAATAACAGCCAATCCAGGTACTCCGTGAAACCACATGGAAATCCCCATGAGCTGACCAGGATGCGATGGGTGAATGATCACATCGTTAGTAGAGGTGCCCCCCGCCTCAAGCAGCAGGCAGAGAGATGAGGGACGGCCCATCTATCACCCGCTGCGGAGGCTGGCACTGTGCCGCCCTCGTTTATCCGCAGGCATTGGGGTCTGACTGTAATTACTGGCAGCCTCTGCTGGCGCTGGAGTTGAGGCTTTTGGTGTCGTCCCTCCGTGACGTTACATGGCTTCCCCGATCTCTCCTTCCATCTCTCCCCTTCCAATCTCCCCAAGCTACAGTGAGATGCACTGCCCCCTGTGGCACCTGGACCCCAACATCATAATGCCTCCTTGACTATCTTCTTCAGTCTGCCCCCCCCCTCCCCCATCTCAGGGTGTTGGCAGAGGCAAGGTTGCTGCTGCTCTTTGTTCTGCTTTCAGAATCTCAGGCTCTCCCATCATCTCATTGACCCGACCACACTCCATCACCTCCTTCATCATCTTCGGAACGCATTATCATAGAGCTACATGTTGGAAGCCACACTGCACTGTCGCATGGAGCCCCGGTGTCATACAGCTGCATGTTGGAGGTCACACTGCACAGTCGCATGGAGCACAGGTGTCATACAGCTGCATGTTGGCGGCCACACTGCACAGTCGCATGGAGCACAGGTGTCATACAGCTGCATGTTGGAGGCCACACTGCACAGTCGCATGGAGCACAGGTGTTGTAG